ATATATATATATATATATATATATATATATATATATATATATATATATAGAAAGAGAGAGAGAGAGGTGGAAAAATCAAACTCAATTCGCTCAACTCATTTAGATTGACCTGTCTGTTTATTAGTTCAACTCATTTCAACCTATATTGACTTTTCTTTTCTTTAAATGAAGACCATAAATATTGTGACATTACCTTATCCAACCGAGGCCCAACAATAATACAAAAAGAAACAAAAGAAGTCCAAGACCTAAAATGTTCGGATATCAAAGTAAAAGGGGGGAGGGGGAAAAGTCTCATCTCCTTCCTCGAAGTACAAACGAAACAACCATGGATCGATTGAAAGAAGCGTTGATGAGCTAAAGAGACGTCAAAGTCTTCAAATTCAGTATCCAACTCCACCCCATAACCTAGAAGTTGCCGAGCTTTAAGGTGTTTTCACCCAAGACATTCCAAATCTCATGAATGCCATGAAAACAATCTTAATGAAGACTTCTTACACGCAATAACGACAAATCTGGTGAGTTCCATAAATGATTATGAAGCTTTTGTTGTCCATTAATCAAAGAACTTGGGGTAAATCTTCATATTCCTTTCTCTTGTGAGTGTCGATTCTAGTACCAAAGTTGCAGATGCAAGCATGCCACTCCAATACTTGCTTATGTCGAGATTTTCAACAGGGTAAGTATTTTTTCCTCTCGATCCATTTCACCCTTGTTGATTTCCTTGTTTTCATGCCACCATCCATCCTTTTTTTTCCAGAAAAATGTTTCGTCATCCTTCTCGACTCTCAACATATTTAGCTTAAAAAGCTAATACCATTGCTTGAAATTCAAAAAAGATACATAGTCTATTATTCTAAAAATATTATCACTTATTGTCACTAATGCATCTACTTGAATGTTCAAATAGCTATGAATGCTCTATTATAATGTATATTTTCATGTTATCTTCTATGCATATGATCATGGTTAGCAAAGTCTCCATTTTGATATCTTCTTGTCCTAAGGCTAAGAAGTTTTTTTTTATCTGTATTGATGATGCCTCGTGCCACACTTGGTATATCCTAAAAATTTGATTATATTAGTCTTTGAGTACCTGCAAAATAGAACAACCCAAATGAACTCATTAGAAATCCTATCAAAACATTTTTAATAAACTTGATTTTTAATTTGATATGTTATATATAGTCATAATAAAGAAAAAAATAAACTTAATAGGTATTAAAATATTTTGGAAGAATAAATAAAATAATTAAACATAGTAAAAATTGACAAATTTGCATATACTATACCTTATTTGGAGAAAATTAAATGAAAGGTGTCAAATAAGTCTTGGTTTTATTTGTTGTGACAGATTGACCAAGAGTTGTTCAAGTCTTTTTTAAAATGTAATTCAGTAAATTTTGGACCAAATTAACATTTTCAAAACTTTCTAATCTTTTATAGAATACAAAAAAACACTTCATTTTTCAACTTTTATATTTCTATCCAAATTATTTTTAAAAAATAAATGCAAATAAAATTCTCTTCTTCTTCTTCTCCCAATGTTCTCTCCTCTTCTTCTTCTCTGTTAAGAAAATTTGAAAATTCAACAATCAAAACCAATATCTCTTCCCCATTATCTTATCTTCCTCCTCATCTCCGGTCGTAACTCTCTCCTCTTCTGAACTGAAGATTGTGTTCGACTTAAAATTGGTAAGTCATTTTTTTGAGAGATTTTACAATTTTTGAACAATACTAAATTTTTTCTTGGTTTAAGGAAGAATAAATCATTCTATAGATGTGAAGTATGAATAATGGTATAATGGTACCTATTATTTATTATTTTTGAAAGAAAGTTAACAAACCCAAAAAGCTCTAATTTTTGAGAATATATATATATATATATATATATATATATATATATATATATATATATATATATATATATATATATATA